TCTTTTCCTTACCAATTGTGTTCATCTCAACACAAAATTGTAAACTGTTTAACTAACTTCGTACAGAAAACACATTATGAAATTAACTATACACTATACTGTATTAAATTCTACACTATGTTAAATTCAATCAACATTAACTTCTGTGACCACAGGTAGTTTCTATAAGAAAACAAACCAGTGCTTCCCAAACTGCATATGAATCACCTGGGGACCTGATTCAGTGGGTCGGGGTGGGGCTTGAGAGTCTCTGAGTCTAATGAGTATTACAATAATTACTCATAAGATGTGATCTGGACTCACACCCTTTCCATCTCCATCTCCATCCTTTGTCTTTGCTCTGCTATCTCTTTACTTAGACCCTTCTTTATTCCGTCTGGACTATTGCAGACTGCTCTCCCTCCTCCCCAGGCTTCTCTTGGTTAGATTGTGTTTGTAAGAACACTGAGGATAGTCTTCATCCCCTTGCTCAGAAAGCTTCAATGAGTCTCATTGTCCAGAGAATAAAATTTAGCCTCTTTAATAGGAGAATCTGATGTTCCTTTCCAATACTTCTTTCCTTTATAAATTTCCTGCTCTACCTGTGAATACAACTGCATTGTTTTTCCTCTGAGCCATCATCTAGTCTACTAATTGAAAACCTTATTGTTTGCAAGTCTCAGGTCAAATTATTCTACAAGTGTGTTAAGTCTGTTCATAAAGGATCACTCAAGGCTCCGAAATCCTAATGCACTTATTGACTCTCCTTTTCACATGGTGCTGCTCCAATCCTGAGCTATCTATCTATGAGCTATCTATCTAGTAGCTATAGTTAAAAACTTCAGGAGGGTAGGGTGCCTAACTAATCCATTTCTATGCCACTTTTAGCCTGAAGCTCAGCAATATGTATGTGGATGAGCAACATATTGATGGGTTCAGAGCAAATTTTGAAAGCAGACACACTTGGATTTTAATCCAGGCCCAACTGTCTACCAGCTGTGTGAATTTGGGCAAGTTACTTAACCTCTCTAATGTTTTCCCTCATCTGGAAGTTACAGATGATAATACCTAGTATATTTGGAAAGTTGAATAAGATAATGTATATAGAGTGCAAAGCACAGAGCATTAAATCAGTGGAAGTTTTATTTATAAAGCAGCATACAATAAATGTTGAATGTACAAGTAATTAAATGATATCTAACTTAAATTCTTTATACTACAATTAAAAATCATTTTCTTAGTGGTGAGAAAAATTATTCATGTTATTAACCTTTAAACACTTAACATCAATCCTACTTTTAATTTCCTTTCCTTTTCATAGGGATTACTTTCCAATCCTTTAAGCAATTTTCCTTGCCTTTTAAACCTATTCTATATCCTCAATATTTTTCTTTAAGCTGTGGGGAGATGAGTAAGGATTCATCTCAGTCACTCTATTCACAGTTCGGAGCTGTATTAGCATATGTGATATTATCCTATTTAATTGCTTGTCAGGACCCACCACATGGTGCATACTGAATAAATGTTAAGTAACAGTCCATCTGTTTTAGATAATCATGTTTGTTTTGTATCTTCTTACCTGAAAAATGGGAACTACTGTATTTATAGTTGTATAGGACAAACACTCTTATGTTTCTTTTCTACTCTCACACTTATTACCACACTCACAACACTCCCGACACCAGATGTGTGGGTTTATTCCCACATCCATCAAGTCTCTGACACCAACTGGCTGTTTTACAATTTAATTTAATTCTGACACTAACTTGGAGTTGGTGTTATCATCGTAATTAGCTAGTTTATTAATATTAATAGTAGGAAGAGAGCAAAGGGGAGGCCAGACATTATAAGTATGGTCATATGAGCAGCTTTACCAGGAAGCTACAGCTTCATGCTCCCCAGGGAACCACCAGTCCATTCCCTGCAGATCACTGGGGGAAGGGATCGAACAAAGGAGGAGATGGGCACATGTGCAGTGAAGTGGAGGTGACATAGGGAAGGTGCTTGCCTGTCAGTCTAGCCTGGGAAAAAGATAATTGTCTAGGAAGGTGAAACCACTGCAAATGCACAAAATCTTGGAAGGTTAAAATCCCCAGAGTCCCTTTCCCTTCTTTCTCTCGCTTGCTCTGTGACCTGCACTTGCCCCTTATGCTTGTCTGCCATGTGGCTTTCAGCAGCCGTATGGCCCATTGTTGTGTGGACTCCACACGCAATGGACTACAGCTGGGAACACAAGCTAAGCTAGCCAGATGCTGGACTGGACTGTACTATAATATGGAACTGCAACTCTGGACAGTGGCCTTAATTCTAGCTCTGCTGAAGACAAGATTGGACTTCTTCCATGAAGAGACAGACAGAGATGGGATCCTGTAGGGGTACTCCCTTAATTTTACATCATCAATAAAGCTTTCCATGAAACCCATTCTCCTATGGGGGCCTCAGGAAATTCTTTTTTTCTCATGCTATCCCAAGAACTCCACTTCCACTGATAACAGCATGAGATCAGTGCCATGTGACTGCCTCCCCTCTTTAGATGCCAATCAGCAGTAGAGGTGGGTACCTGTACTTCTGCCCTACTGGCTACAAATAGGGTTCCTGTGACCCCTACCTTGGGTTTAACAATTTGCTAGCATTGAACTCAGGGAAATACAATTACTACTTTATTACATAATAAAGGATATGATAAAATATACAGATAAACAGTCAGATGAAGAGATATATAGGGTGAGGACTGGAAGGGTCTCAGGCACAGGAGCTTCTGTCCCCTTGGAGTTGGGGTGCACCACGATCCCTGCACATGGATGTGTTCACCAACAAGGAAGCTCTCTGAATTCAGTACTTTTGGGATTTTTATGGAGGCTTCATTACACAGGTAGTAACTCAATTTTGGCCTTCATTCTTCCTGGAGGATGAGGGGTGAGGTTGAAAGTTTCAAGCCTCTAATTAAATGGCTTGATCTTTCTGGTGACCAATCCCCATCCCGAAGGTACCCAGGAGCCCAACAAAAGTTGCCTCACTAGAACGAAGGACACTCCTATCTCCTCCTATCAGTCGGGAAATTCCAAAGAATTTAGGAGTTCTGCACCAGAAGCCATGTCAAAGACCAAATATTAGAACAAAAGATGTTCCTAAGTGTTTTCACCACTTAGGAATTACAAAGGATTTAGGCACTCTGTGTTAGGAGCCAGGGCCAAGACAACTATATATATTTCTCTATTATTTCACAATAGGCATAGCCTAAATATAAATACCAGCATTCCTTTCAAAAAGTTTTTTTCATTACTATTATAAAGATGCAATGTTAAAAACCATGAGGAATAATTCAGACATAGAATTGTTTCATTTTGATTCCACCCACCACAGCTCTAGGTCTAAGTATGGACAGTGAAAGCCTCCTATTGCTGCCCCAGTTCCAGTCACTAAAAGAGCAAATTCCAAGACTCATAGTGGCAGTTTTTGTCCCTTATGAATTTTTATGTCTTTGAATTTCTATCAGTGTCCAGATAAGGAAGCAACGTCAGTAAATGACTTAGTCACTGGAAGCTGGAATGAGTTCCCCTGCTTTCTGTCCAAATCCTGTCTTCAGGATCAACTTTCACATGATTTTTCTCCTTGAAGGCTTTTACCTCACATTACCTTTCCTTTTGTCATATTCCCATCTATGGCTGGAATCACATGCTTGAGAATGTTCTAGAGTCTAATTTGTATTTTCTCTAATCATTTTATGTATGTGTATGTGCCTCTAACAAGACTTTAAGAAAAATATTTTTAGGGAAAATATCTGTGGACAAAAAAGGGGCCACATACTAAATCTTACAAGTTCAGGGGAAGCCTGCATGGCAGCCTTGCAAACTCAGAGACCTAAAGTGACCACACAGGATGGTCTGAGCTTAAAATTTTCTAACTAAAAGCAGTCATGGCAGGTAGTCATGTCCTAGGCCAGCATCTTCCCTGACAAAGGTCAATCTTTATCTTCACTGAGCCCGTATATTGTCTTTTTGCATCTATGATAACATACCTTTGGAATGTCTGAGTAATCCTCTTTTTCCAGACTCCTCAGGGCGAAATCTCCCACCAGAGTGCAAGACTACAGAACCCCTATAGCCATCGTTATTAATTGTTAACTGTTAACTATCCTATATCCCCCTGCAGAAAGGAAGTTTGTATCTGTTCCTTTTACTTTTTACCCAGTCACAGAGATTCCCCTCTGCTTTGCTTTCTCCCACCTCCCTAATCTATCACCAATGAGTTTCACATAACCCCTTATGTTTTCTTTCTCCTTTGATTCCGATGTATAAAATAAGTGGTAGAACTGCCATTTTCCAGAGCATTTTCTCAATCTGTTGAGATTTTGCTTCCTGGCATTATAGTCAGTTTGGCTCAAATAAACTCATGAAAATTCTTATAGGTTTGGACATTTCTTATGTTGACATATCCCACAGAAATGTGACTTGTAGGAAATGAAGTGACACTTGCAATCACATACTCCCGTGAACATCACTGACTTCAGCGATAACCGCTAATCCCAGAGCAGCTTCAGGAGGCCAGAGGGCACATCCACGCTGCACTCATGCACCCTCTCATTTTTCATTCCTTCATTCATTAGCAGAGATCTATCAAGTTCCTCCCATGTCACAGGCACTAGAGTAACAGTGGTGAATGGGATACACATCCTCCCTTCCCTCTCATGGGTTATGGTGTTATGGGGGAGACAGATAAGTGGATGCTCAATAAACACACTCTGATGAAAGCAAAAGTCAAGTCTGTTTTGTCACAACTTAATCAAATTTATACTTATGTCCCAGGTTCTGGGCTGGAACTGGAATACGCAGATAAATGAAATGCAGACTCTTCCCTCAAGAGTCTATATAATCTGCAGTTCCATGATAGAATAAACTATGATAGAATAAACAAAACCATTTTTTTCCAGGCACCTTTCCTATGATCTCAAGGGTATGCTGAGTGTATTTACTGACATTCCATCAGATGAAGTCTGTAAGGAAAATAAATGAAATACAAACCAAAGAGGCAAGTCCTTGGAGTGGCATGGCTTCCTCGGCCTCATAGAGATAGAAATTCAAAGAAGCAAAGAAATAGCCAGAGGCTGGTTCAGTGCAGCTGTGGCCGGTGACATGTGGGCGGCATTCACACTGCTCATCCTTGGGAGAACACCTGAAGAAAAACAAATCCATCTGAAAAAAACATAGAGGGGGCATGTGTAAAATGAAGGCACAACAGTGCTGAGCTAACTGTACCCCAAGTTTGGATTTATTCTTTGAGTTGATCAATCAACTGCCCTAGAGAGGAGGATGAGAAGCCACGGGCTCTACAAGTCTGGTCTTAAACAGCAAACCCAGATCCATAGACCGAGTAACCACTTCTTTCCTCAGTGGCTCTGATTCTGCTCTAAAACCAGGAAAAGGAGAGTGTAGGATCTGTCTTTATAGGGTGGCAAAAAGTTAGTGTTTTAGGCAGGTCAGGTCACACGTCTGCAGGCATCTGTCCCATCATCTCATGGGAGATCCAGGCAATAGAATTGTCATCTCACCCTTGAAAATATTTCAAGTAAAATGAATCAGTTGGGCTCTGGTTAATGTCTCAATATCATCACTTTTCAGTGCCCTTTGCCTGTCATGAAATAAACTCCTTCACCTATGACGATGAGCATATCAGAAAAAAATGTGCTTTTATGTGGATATGTGAGTGAGGAATATTGTCACAACACTTTTTCATTCATTTTACTGACTTACACATTAGAATAAGCACCTCCAATATCACAGTCACAGGGAGAACACCCATAGAGATGATTTCCCAGTCCCCAGTATCCAACCTACAAAGAGAAAATGCTCAGTTGATTTATGTGTGCAGATGTTTGCTGCTTTGATGTACAATGTTGAGTGCATCACAATTCAGTTGATGCCTATCAAATGGCCGCACAGCCTGAACAATCACACAGTAGCTTTCTTTACCCATGCACTTGGTAATGATTTTCATGGACACATATCTCCCATTCCAAGGGCTTGAAATGAAGGGGACAGGTGAGTTGTCTGTATATTGCTTCAAGTGGAATACAATGGAAACCACATGGCTCCTCTGACAGAACCAATTTAGCATCAAGTGGGGTTGTTAAAGACCAGTCGAGAGAAGTTCTTCAAGTAGCCTGTTTGCAACTGCTTTTATAAAACCAATAGATGTCTTTACTGCAAAATTCCTAGGGATTTTTACTTACACAATACTAAAATGTTTGTGGGTAAAAGAATCAATCAAGTTGATTTTGAGCTCTTATATGAATATCACAGTTTAGTAGAATCACTTGTTTATAAATAAAGTTGTTTTGGCATAACAATTTCTTTCCCTGAGAGAGTCAGCTCTGTTATTTAAGACTTTTCATCATTGCAACATCTTGACCTTTATTCAGTATAAACAACTGGTGAAAAACAAACAACTATTTCTTAAATCTGATAAGGTTTACTATAAAATGCTCAGGAAAATACTTTCCCATCAAATATCAATTTAACATGCTCGGACAATATTAAGCTCTTACTAGGAATGGAACTATTGCTTGAAATGGGTTTGTTAAATATCCCTACTTTTTTATCTTGGTAAAATTTTATGCGCAATTTTACTCAAAAATATTTATTTTAAACATAAAAGTTGATATAATTTGTTTAAAAATGCAGCAAAGTACTTTTGATATTTTTTCCAAAACCAAATTTCAGTTTAGGCACAAACAATGTGAAACAAACTGCTTCACTCAGGATGTGGCTGTGACACTCCCTCTGGGCAGGGTATGCTGTCGTGTGGCCACGTCAACGCAGGCCCCGGGCACCATCAGACAGATGCGGATGTGGGCCACCTGAAGATGTGTGGCCTCAGCCCAGTGGGCAAGTCCCCACTGCTCAGTTATTTTCCTCCTGCAAATACAATCTAGTTAACTGTAAGCTAGCAGTGAACCTGCCAGCCAAAAATGTCAGCCTGAGCCTAAGGTTTGTTGGAATAGTCCTATGTGGTGTCTTCATGGACCCTGTTAAGCAGGTCTGCGTGCTTCTTTGTGTTCTCTGCACGTGGTCACCGAGCATGGTGTGGCTCGTGTTGCTAAGTAAAACTCTGAGACTGCTTGCCCTGTCTCACACAGAGTGCCTTCTTTATACTTCCGTGCTTTCTTTCCCTACCTCCTCTGCTCCGTCCTCACATGTTTTCAGTAAAATTACTTAAAATATTAGCACAAAACTATGTCCTAATAGGCATATGTTTCATATTTATCAGCTACATTTCTTCAGACACATCAAGGTCACTGTTCTTTTACTAGGTTAAGTTTTTGTTTTTTCCTTCTAAAATGTCACGGTGGGCTGCCAAGACTGGAGGACACAGAAAAGAGTTGGGTTGGAACTTCCTTATTGCCTAACACATTTCTTATGGAGTAAAAATGTTTTACTTGACTAATTTTAGACATATATGCTCATATGTTTAGTGGAGTCTGTGAAAAATTCAAGAGTTTACTTCCCACAGAAATCTACAATACATTTAAATCCAAGTTGTTGTTTTTTAGGTTTTTTTACTGAGCTCATCCAAAATATTTTTATGCAAGGAATGGGAGGGGTGGTAAAGGGACTGTGGGCAAAAGACAGATGAAGAGGCCCAATGACCTGGTGAGCCTAAAGAAGGGGACAGATAAATGCTCTTATATTCTACTGCTTGGCACATTTAGGTGAACAAAGGATAAAACTATTGACAGGAGCTATATTCCTTATGCTATACTAATCTTGGTGATCATTTTATAAAGTATATAAATGTCCAATCACTATTTTGTATACCTGAAACTAATATAATATTGTAAGTCAAATATAATTAAAAAGAAAAATAATAAAAAAAGGAACATCTGTGAAGCACAATAAAGCAAACCCCAATAAAATGAAACAAACAAAAACAAAAAAATATTGACATGGTCTATTCAGTCCAATCTGGTAAATGTTGCTGTGCTGGTAAATGTTCAACCCGCTCTCTATGGGAGGGCAGTGCTGATTTCTAGTGTTTGCTGATTTCTGTAGTGTAAATATTTTTTAGCACAGGAGCATTGAAATATGACAGGACAAGGAGAGCAGTGTACAAGACCAAGCCTCTCCTCGGCAATGGCAGCAGAAAGCTGCATCACTACTTACAAGGGAAATCACAGGCAACTGGTACAGTGCCCTCCTCACATCGTGGTCGGGTGGCAAAGGGCTGGCACAGGCACTGGCCTGTGTCCACATCACAAGTCGAAAGTGGCAGACTCCCCAAAGGGTTACAGTTGCAGGCTGAAAGCACAGCATACACAATCACTCATTTCTATTTCCCCATGTTTGTAAATGTCCTAAATAGCTCACGCTGAGCAAAACACATGGCCACAAGAGCACAGAGCAGCCAGGCCTGCCCAGCCTATTGTCTGCCTGGCTGCGTGATTACTGTGTGGTGCGCAGCCCTGCACGGGAAAGTCAGCGCCAGACACTTGGGGAGCCCTCACGCAGACCCACTGGGTGGCCCTTAGGGGCCCAGAAAGAGGAGGGAGTCAGGCAAGCTGGGCTGGTGGCCGGCCAGGCCCAGGGCCCCGAGGGCCGCGGTTCCTACCGCGCTCCTCCGCAGATGCGTCTGTTTCCCGGACTCTTTCTTGCTTCCTCAATGCCTCGGGCCATTTTCTTTACATCGTCCTCCTCTCCCTCCTCCTCCCGTAGACACTTCTGAGTCCTGCTTATGTTATGAAGGCTAAGAAATTATGCCACCAGGGCATAGATTGCCGTGCAGGAAAAACCAGTGTTCACGGAGAAACACAAGTGTTCATCAGCTCATAAATGGGCCAGCGAAGTGGGATATACTCATACGGTGGCATCTCATTCAGTAGAAGTACTGGCTCATGCTGCGACATGGGTGAAACGTGAAAACATTATGTCAACCCTGAAAGAAGGCAGTCATAAAAGACCATACATTATAGGATTTCAGCTTATGAAATGTTCACAACAGGCAAATCCGAAGAGACAGGAAGCGGGTCAGCGCTACCTCGGGCTAGGGGAGTGGGGGCTAGGGAGGTAGGAGGTAAAGAGCTTGGGTGGTTGGTTTTTTTCTTTTTGTAGTAGAATACGTTTATCATACCATTTACCATCTTCACCATTTAAGTAGATAAGAACATGGGTTTTCTTTTCTTTTTTCTTTTCTTTTCTTTTCTTTTCTTTTCTTTTCTTTTCTTTTCTTTTCTTTTCTTTTCTTTTCTTTTTTTCTTTTTTGGTGCAAGCATACATTTAACATACCATTTACCATCTTCACCATTTTGCAGTTCGGCAGGGTTAGTACACTCACATTGTTGCACAACCAATCTCCAGAACTCTTCAACTTGCAAAACTAAAGCTCTATACCCATTAAACACGGTCTCTCTCCATTCCTCCCTCCCCTCCAGCACTTGGCAACCACCATTCTATGTTCTGTTTGTATAGATTTGACTAATCTACACACTTCATATAAGTGGCATTATACAATATTTGTCCTTTTGTGTCTGGCTTATTTCATTTAACATAATGTTTTTAAGGTTCATTCATGTTGTTGCATGCATTGGAATTTTCTTCCTTTCTAAGGCTAAATAATATTCCATTGTATATACATACCAAATTTTGTTTATCTACTCATCCATGGAGGCACCGAGTTGCTTCCACCTTTTGGCCATTGAGAACAATGCTGCTACGAACGTGAGCGTACAGATATATCTTCCAGACTGTGCTTTCAATCTTTTGAGTCTTTACCCAGAAGAAGGGTGTGGGGTTTCATGTGGGATAATGAAAACATTCTAAAATTGATTGTAGTGATGGTTATACAACTCTGAATATACTAAAAATCATTGAATTGTACACTTTAAAAGTGAATTGCACAGTATATGAATTATACCTCACTAGAGCTGCTTCAAAAGAAAAAAACAAAACAAAACAAAAACCACCATTTGGCCTATTCTCAGAGGGCAAAAAGTTAGTCAGTGAACCAGGGGAAATGTCTGGAGTGCTCCAAAGTATGATGGAAAATTAGCTTGACTACATAATTCATTATCCTGAAATTTATTTTTGCTATTAAACTCAAGAAGAAAATTTTATCACAGAAAGATTCACATGCTGCTCTCTAAACATACAAATAATGTACATTTCTTTATGTGAGAAAGATATAGAGTATGATGCTGTGACAGAAGGGACATGATTTACCTAGATTCCCTGAGGATTCTGCAGCTGTTTGAAACCCCAGGCAGCTATAAATGCGTGTGATCCTAAAGTCAGGGATCTCTTCATTTGGCCCCAGAAAACTCCAAGTTCTTTCTATTTCCCTGAAGCCCCTCCCATGGTTTTTTAATTTTTTCTTTTCTTTGTCAGAGAACATAAAAATACTAAGAGGGATGTGAGAAGACAAGGGAAACAATTTAAAAAAATAAAAAGAAACCATCACATGAAAATTGCCCAAGAAGTTATCAGTCTTTACAGAAAACCGCAATGCGATTTAACAAATCTGTATAGGAAAGTCCCAGTAGAGGCTGTTTTTCTAAAATTTTTGTAACTAGGCGTTAAATTTCTTGGCATTTTCCACTGTTTCCTCCCCCAGAAAAATGTGAGCGCCCCCTGCTGGTCCCTTATGACAAACTCAGCAAACCAGGAAGAACTAAACTAAAATTTATGTGAGCTTTTGTATCACTTTAAAAATCTGAGAGGCTGTGGATAACAGTGTGGTGATTTCTGGGGGTAGGGGGACTGGGGGTAGGTGGAAGAGGGTATAGTGGGGGTAAATGATGATAGACGAAGACTTGACTTGGAGTGGTGAACACACAGTACAGTGTACAGATGATGTGTTGTAGAATTGTGCGCCTGAAACCTGTATAATTTTGTTAACCAGTGTCACCCCCAATAAACTTAATAAAAAGGGGAAAAAAGAATAAAAGAACTCTGGTAGCCAAAAACAAACAAACAACAACAAAAGAACAAAAACTTTGAGAGGCTGGCAGGACTCTTGGGTATTTACAATGACCGAATTTTAGAGCTGACAGAGATAGCCCCAAGCTTTAAAACGTCCAGGCTGGTTGCCCGGCTGCTGTTGACTTATGCTGACAGCCCATAGGGTCAGTGGCTCTCAGTCAGTAGTGGTTGGGCTTGCATTGGTCGCACTTGGCTCCTTCCACATTCTCCTTCCACAGGCACTGGCCAGCCACAGACCCCAAGGCAGGAGGGATCAGAGTGGCTTACACAAATGCCACCTGATATGGTCCCGTCTGGGTCACACTCACAAGCTGGGGATACAGACATGCATTATCTTAGTTAATGCAAATTGTGGGAAACCTGAAATGTAAGCACAGCATTTTATTCATGAAATAACTATTTTACTTTTTAAAATCATTAAATATGTTTAAATGATTAGACAAGTGGGCAAGGGCTGCTCAGAAATATCTCCCAGATCTTGGGCCTTGGAAAATGTTGAAAAATTCCATACATTTTTAAAAAAAAGACTTTTAAGTGATTCTAGGTAAGAGGGCCAGAGGAAGACGGCTATTATGAGAACTGGACGTTAAGAATAGATTATTTTGAGGGTCTTGAAAATGTTTTGGAGCAGAGGTGCTGGTTGCATAACACTGTGCCACTGAATTGTTCCTGGAAGGAGCAAGAAAGAAAGAGGGAAGAGCAAGAAATGTTCAGATCCTTCTTTTCTTTTTGGGTGTCTGCTAGTGGGGCAAAACCTTAAGAGATTCTGGAAAATGAGATAAACCGTCACCTGTAGCAAAGGAGCAACTAAAGTTCCAACTTCCCCTTCCTGCTTTTTTTCAGCAGACAGTTGAACAACTGAAGAAAGGAATATCATATGATAAAGGATGCTGATGGTGTGAATAATTCCAGAGGGTAGAAGTTACAAAAGGTAGAACCTAACTGAGTATAAGGAAGAACTCTCTAACAGTTAGGGCTGCCCAATAGTGCGGCGACCCCCTCATCAACAGAGGTGTCCAGGCAGAGGCTGGAACAGCACCCATGGCTTTCGTTTAGGGGACAAGTGTGTTGGTAGGCATTAGATGACCACCAAGGTCTCTTGTATCTTTGTGGTGCTGTGTTTTCAATGTATTCCACTTTCAAGGAATGTAATAAAAACTTAAAAAATAAATATCCTAATTTTAAGGACTAATTATATTCACATTTATACATGTTTGCTTTAGATTAATAAAAATAATTCCATCAGATCTAAGGCTATGTTTACATAACAACCTTTAGGTTAGTGAGTTTAGTGAAAAAGTCCAGTCAAACCCATTATTTGGTGTCATTGAAGCAATCACTTGGTTGTCTGACAGAATCTATTTCAATTGTTTGCTGTTGGATTGTGACTGGTGAAAAAAATCTTACTATGGAAAACAGTATTGGGTTCTGCTTAGTTTGGAAAAACCACATTTTTTTTTCTTCTAATCAAAGCCAGTTGCTTCTAGAAAGGAAGGAACAAATTGGATTCATTTTAGAAGTAGACAAAAGGAAAAAGCTCAACTGTCTTTGGGAGACACTCCAAAGGGTTAGCGTGGAGTTCCAGAGCATAACTTAATTATGTTCAAAAGCATCCTTTGGGGGATGTGGGTGAGTGGGTAGTAACTTTAAAATAAACCTATGTCCGGGCCTTTAAGATAGAATTTCAATAAAATCTCTTGGTGTCACACAGCTTAATTGTAACAAACTTTCATTATTGGTGATTGAGTCTACCAAATCTTTGGTTTTTTCTGTATCACATTTGACTGTGTTTTAATCATGGAAGACTTAAAATTAGTCAACTCTTATGCCTGGAATCAGATTATGTAAATATTTAGGGTCAAACAAAAACAACTTAGAGAAAATTTATATGAGATTGCTGCTAGTCAGTCTTAATACACATCATTTGTATAGACACACTCACACACACATAAACATGTGTTTAGGTAAACTAGGAGAAACTGGAGTCTCATGATGGTAGTTTTTATAAGCTCCTCATCTGCCTTTTCTCAAGAAACAACTTGTTTACAAACAATGACTTCTTCATTTCATATTGGGGAGCTAGTTTTCTTTCTTTGGTTCCTTCAAAAGTACCATCTAGTTAATAGTGGTTCTGAAGGAACAAGACTTTGTTCAATGTGTTCAAAACATTTGGTTTAGTTATTTCCAATCTCTTTCCATACCCTTAGATGATCTGTTTCAAAACATTATACTTTCCTGATTCTACCTAAGAAAGCAATTTCATCTTCCTTTGTAAATACATAGCTTTTAAAACATGAATAAAAGGTATGTGTGTGTGTGTGTGTGTGTGTCTGTGTGTGCGAGATTATGGATTCTGGTAAAAAATGTAGGACACTTAGGACATCAATTTAAAAATAGATTTTTTTCTGAGAATACAGTTCTTTGTATCAATTTTAGGTAGGCCATGTAAGGTAAAATTTCATGCCATTAGGTACCTATTGAGTAATCTGAGCAAAACAAGTTCATTTATGCTTTTTTACATTGTGATGATTTAAAGTTTGAAATCTAGAATATTGTATGTAGTCAGGTAGCTACTGAATTACTTTTGTATAAGACTTCACTTTATGTATTATGATTATATAAAGTTTGAAGTTGTAGTTTCATAGCAAGTCCTCCACCCAATATAACATTCTATTGATGATATAGCCTAAGAAGCAGGATTTCTGGGTGTTGAGAGGGGCAATCTTCCATGGATTCTGGGCACCTGAACAAATTTTTTGCTGAGTGCCAACAGTGCAAGGTCCTGACTGCTCTTTATCCAGGCCATAGCTGAAGATTGCATTGTAGCAAGCTCCCTTTAGGAACAAAGAAACCTTTCCCCCAGACAAAGAAAGAGCTTGCTTCCACTGCTATAAAAGCAGTGAATCCTCTGCTCAGTGTTCCTTGGCTATGAGATAAACTCATTAGGTGTACAGGAGCCACCTGGTATACTCTGAGTTGCCCCATGGGATTTGGAAACTCAGACCAGTACAAACATCTTGCTGCTTCCTGTGCCATGAGTAACAAAGTCCTTTGTCTTTGACCCAGGAGTTTCATGTTCTCCACCAGCATCCATGAAACAATAATGGACTAACTTGTTAGTTTGCAGCAGAGTTAAGTAACAGACCCAGTAACTGGCACTGTTTGAACTCAGATTGGAGTATTTATCTATGCACTAATTGACAGCAGTGCTAGGACCAGAGAGAGGCAAGCGAGGTGCTGCGGGCACAAAATTTAAGGAGGCACTCACTGTCAGGTTAGTGCAAGTGGAAAGTGTCAACACTATGCTTGCATGACTCTGAGAATGGTGCTTCCTTAAACTTTGGGGCCTAGGTGCTTCGTTTGCTTTACTCTAGTCTCATTCCTGCAGGGAAATGTAAATTAAAATAATGATGAGGCACTATTTGAGCAGCAAAAATGAAAGCATGATAAACCAAATGTTGGCCAGAATATAGAGCGGCATGAACTCTCATACAACGTTGGTGGGGCTGTTAATTGGTATACCCGCTTAGGGGCAATTCAGTATTATCTAATCAATATGAAGAAGTTCATACTATGTCCCAGTAATTCTACTCCTAGGTATGACTCTTAGGGACAGTCTTTTTGCATGTGCACAAGGCCACATATATAGTTATTGTAGCATCAGAAGAAAAATAGACAAATAGATTTTGTCAGATTTATAGGAAGAAAGGAATTGGACACAGAAATTAAAATTGGAGAACTAGGGCCACCTGATAAGGACAAATCTTAAACATATAATGTTGAATGAAATAGTCAAGGATATGTACAACATAATATCACTTACCTAAAGTTTAAAAATACGCCGATATATATTGTTTGTAGATAAAAACATATGTGAAAGTGTGAAAATAAGCAAGGTGATAAGTGCAAAGTATAGTTAGAGTTTATCCCTAGGAAGAAATGTAGACAAATGGGACAGATGTGCACCTAGGACATCATTACTACCTGCAGTGTTTTATTGAAGCCCTGAGTCTATGTGAGAGCGGTATCGGATTTACCCAGTTTGTGCCCTCATCCTTGTTTTGGTGGCAATGCATATCGCCACAGTGTGGCAGTATTACACATCACCAAAGAGGTTCCAGGATATTTCCCGTAAGTGTAACAAGAGGGTTCATTTCCTTGAACTCAAATCTTGACTACACACAAATGGGAGCTAGCAAACCAGAGCACGGTAAAATTGACACAGCCTATCTTCCAACAGCTGCTAACAATCATTTTAACTAATTTTATTGCTAGTTAGCATAAAACACAGCTTGGAACCTTCCTTTGGAGTGAGAATCTGTGAGCTCCTCTGACTGACGAGAAGACGGAGATATCCTGGCCAGGACTTTGCACTGAGGTAATTAGCTGTCATCACCTCTAGCATGGACATGGAGGACTGGCCCTAATCTGGACACGATGGAAGCCCTGATCCCTCTAAAGTGCATTGTCCAACAGAAATATGAGTCACTAGTGTCATTTAAAATTTTCTGGCAGCCACATTTAAGCAAGTGAAATTATTTTTAATATATTTAACCCAATAAATAAAAAATATTCTCATTTGAACATGTGATCAATATTTTAAAAATTAGCAATGTTTTACTATACATTTCCCCCCAAAACTAAGTGTTAGAAATCTGGAGTGGTTTTCTACTTACAGCATGTCTCAATTTGAATTAGCCATGTTTTAAGTGCTCAGTAGCCACATGTGGCTAGGGGCTATGATGCTGGACAGTGCAGCTCTACAAAACAGTGTCTAGACTGCAGTAAACTGGGGTACAGCTTACCTTCTAGGGTGAATGGCTCAGGGAAGAGTTTGCTGCTGAGTGGGCAGCCAACCACATCCCAGGCTCAGTCACAGGCTCCTAACCCTTTCTAGAAAGGAGATCTCTTTTCCCTTCTCTAAAATTCTTGGTTGAGAACCCTTGTTCTATGTAATCAGCCTTAACAGAGGGGATTCCTTCTGTAAGGAGATGTGGGACAAATGTTGGGCATGCGGGTCAGAACAGCTATAAAGCAAAAATGGCACCATTCATCAATGAATACAGCTGTTTGTGCTAAAAACTACCTCACATTCATTAGGGAGAATCCAACTAGAGTCAATAGTGAGGATCCAAAATGAACTGGCATTTAATAGACACCAATTATGTACTTGCCCAATGGATGACATCAACATAACCTCACATCATGCTTGCCCTAAACAATCCTATAGAGTTATTCTTACACTCCCCTCCAATGGTCTATGATCCCCTAAGGGAAATATGTTTAGGTCTCTGAAGAGAATAGAGGGGTTATAGCTCCAAGTGCAACACATAGAGATGTGGCAAACAGAATCATTTTGTGGGGGTTAAGGGTTCCAGAGCAGTGTTGAAGAGTAAGCCAGTCTACATTAATTTAAGCACATAAGGCCCGAAGTTGGGTGGGATGTGAGGAATTCCCAGTCAGGTTCAGACTTAGAGTGGTCAGGACCAGTGTGAGGTTCAAAATCGCAGTTGTTCATGACCAGAGAAGGGCATAAGTTCAGAAAGGAAAGAACTTCAGTCAGTAGCCAACTATTCTTTCAATTCAATTTTTAGATGAAAACCTATGGCTTGCCATAAGAAACAAAATGTCATTTTTCTCTCTTCCTTTATGTGTTAAAGAAGGAAAAACACATGTTGGGAACTCTCAGACTTCCCCTGGCATTTTTAATCTCACTCAGTGTGTTTCATATTAGGCTTTATTTACCAACACATCATCAACTTCCTTATTATTTTTTTACAAAGAACAAAAGAATGCAGAGATATTTTCTTCTCATACATGGAAAGAGTGAAACATTTTGAGTTATGTGCTTAAAATAGACTTCTATTTCTCTAGAAGAAAATAATCTTTCTTAAAATGAAAAGAAAATTTGTTCTTTATACAGGGCTGTGCATTCTGGTGGATACTATTCTACTCCTTGCTCTGACATTGTTAAAATCATACAGAAAGAGGCCTTATTAAAAATATGAAGAAAAAAATTAGAAAGGAACTTAATCATACTGTTTTCAGATTGCCACCATTTCTCTTCTTTATTTGGTCCAAAACTTGTAATCACATTCTCAATGGTGTGGCTGTTGGTCTGGGCATGCGGACTGTATGGAAATCTGGAGTCACAAATGAAACATTTCTGTTGTCCCTGGAAAATGCCACTAATAAAATTTAAAATAAAGAATTGTAATTACTTATTGTTGACCTAAATTTAAAAACAAGCTGTACTTACTATATTTGTCGTTCAATCTGGCTAAAAATAAACAGCAGAGGAAATAACATCAATTTTTTCATCAATAGGTGCTTAAATACAATAACAAATGAAATAAAATATGAAAGAATTTTTATAAATTTACATATTTGGAGCAAATGCAAACATATGTAGAAGTCATTTTTTTCTCATACAAGAGGCAGATGACCTGGAGATTATTTTAAACTATAGAGAAATAATTAGAAAATACTCTTTGAATGGAATTTTTTTTTAGTTAAAAAGAAAAAGAATATTTGCCATGAAACTAATAAAACAGTGGACCACTAGGTTATATGCAACCATCATCTTTTCTCTCTCAGACATAGTTTTTGGCAGAAAAGCTTCCAGTGCCAAACCTTTGTATCACACTTGTGCCTTTTGTAACAGATTTTCATAAACTCACAACAGAGAGCCCCACCTCTTGTCTCGCAGACTAGAAGGTCTTATTAGTGAATTGAAACTAGTTTTGCTTGAAATAGATTTTCAAAGGCTGTACAGCCACGATTGGCCTTGGAGTTTGCTTAATTTAACATGTCTGTTTGTAGCTATACTTACTTAAAACTCCTAAGGAAATCTCCAAAGATTCCAAAGACTGCCAATAACCTGCACAGTTGTTCCTGGCTAATATGTGGGACATTGGAGGAGCATTTTTGCAAAGCTTTCAGGACACAGGAGGTGTTTATTACAATCCCCTGTAGTGGAAATTGCCTACAACAGTGAATGTGCTAGTAGGTGTTCAGTGAACATTGAGTTTATGTCCTGAATGTGGCTTACAGGCGCCTACATGACCTCACCAGCTGCCTCCCTGATTCAGTCAGCCCTAGCTGCACTCATTTTTTGCTTTTCCTTGAGCTTACCAAGAACTCTCCTGCCTTAGAATCTTGACATAAGCTGTTCTCAGCTCCCTCCAGTCCCCCCATCAAATATTCTTATCTCTTGCTCTTTCCGTTCTTTCAGGTCTCTGCTTAAATGCCATCATCTTAGAGAGGTTTTCCTTGACTTCTAAAATACCACCACCTGCCACCCCTATGGCCTCTGCCAGTCTCTGTTCCTCACTCTGCTTGACAATATTTTCTAAGCCCTTGTCACTACTTGAGACTATATTATGTGGTTATTGGATTATTGTTTGTTGCCATTATTAGACTTTAAAATGAATGAGGGCAAGGACTTTATTTTATTTATGGCTGTATTCTCCTTACCTAGAATAGTGTATGGAACATAGTAGATGTTCAATAAAATTTGTTGAATGCATGCATGATGATTTTAAAAAAATATGTTTTTTAAAATTGATTTGAGAGAGGAAGGGAGAGAGAGAGAGGGGAGAGAAATACAGAGAAACATTGACCTGCTGCTCTACCTATCCATGCACCCACTGATTGATTCTTGCATGTGCCCTGACCTGGGATCAATGATTTTAATGACTATTTTGGCTATAGTCTATAAGAATAAACTAGCCTTTCAAGAGATCCAAATAATCTTTTTAGAATCACTGGCCACTATAAGCCTTCTACTTGAAGAAAACCAAAATGTACTTTGGAAGTTGAGGAATAATGGAAGCTAGATCAATTCTGCATATGGGGAGGCTTAACTCAGACTTGTCCTAAAAGAGCAGCAGAAGCCCTGTGATTCCACCAAAAGATGTCAAGACTTTGAAGTATTTCCAGTAGTACTATACAAACTACTGGGGGAAATATTTATCCTCAGGGCTTGTGGGCTATTCTTTCTGTAAACATCTCAGAAGCACAGTCTTTTCTGGGTCTGGCTACAGAAGATGTTTAGTTGTATGACTAAGTGGGAGTCCCACTTGGCTAACACTGTGGGTCCATGTTGACTTGAAGTTTTTGGAGAGAAGGCTGGGCTTGGCAGCAACTTGTCAGATAACAGATGGGAAAATCACCTCCTCCTGCATGACATTTATGTGGACTAGCACATGTAGCCCCACCTGTGATACTTTGACAGCCTGAAGATATTTTGAGATTTCTTTTTCCAGTTCTAAGATTTTTAAGATTTCTATGATTTTCTAGACCAAAAAAAAGCCTCTGAAATTTGATTTTACTTCTGTTTTTTGGTAGTGTGAAATTTCTAATTATTGTCCGAGTACATTATGAGTTGGCTATGACAGTAGTAAGTAAATGCCAGTGGCTGAAGAACAAGATGGTTGATGTTTGGTTCAGACAGTTTCTAATATTAGAGTTTAAAACCACTTCTTTGTCCACAGGCCCTTGACTCATAAAGTTACTTGAAGGGTCATTCGTCCCACCTGACCTAGAGTTGGGCAAAACTTCTACAGTGTCATTTCCTTGCACATGTAGAGAATTTGCTTTCTTACACAAGTACTTCCCAAACTTAGAACAGTGCTAAGCACTCAGGTAGTGTCTCCACTTATTTATACTCATCCTCTTTTGCTAGAAACCAATTAACAATACAAACCATTTCCCAGAGACGTCCAGGAGTTGCCTTAAAGAACAATACATGGAAAAGCCTGGGCTACTAATGTTAGGCCTGTGTCCAACTTCCTTCCTGAACATCCTCTTATTCAAGGGTTGACGTGATTGCCTCGGGCTTTTCAGCAGGTATGATACATAGATGACCTTGGATGCTTTATCTGCTCCCAGAGCACAGGGAGGAAAAAAAATGTAAAGCAACTTGTCTTCTTAATAAACTGGTCTTTAAGGGGAAAAAAGGCCTTAAAATATGTTCACAGTGGGACTTTATGGTTTTTAGGCAAGGCAATTTCCAAGTGGTAGTGTGAAGCTGCTCAGTGAATTCCAAGTTCTACACCCTTCTCTTTTTAAGGCAGGACAATGAGAACTCATGTTTAGCATAATGGTTTTGAGGCCCTGAGGGATCCTCAATCTTCATTGCATAAATCAATTATGTTTAATCTATGGCAGTCACTAAGACAGCCCTTCAAAGATTGAACTGAAAAGACTTTTCTGTCTAATTCTAAAGGTAACAAGAAATAGATGAAGCAGATCTTCCCTATTTTTTGATCTGTCCAGGTTTCCTGGTTTTGAATTGAATCACCTGCATCTCCGATGTTCTGAAGGGAATGTTGTCTCCTTTACTGTTGTCTGAACAGCCCCAGAGGTACCTGGAAGAATCTACATCATTGATTAAATAATGTCCCAACAAACAAACAAAGAACCAGCTCACCTCAAGGTAGCCAAGGATGCAATATTTCTGGGCTCTCTCTAGCCCACAGGTAGAAGAAGCTGTGAGCTTTGTGCTGCATCCCACTAGGAGATTGCCAGTGGGACGACAGGCACCCCTGTTACATTCATCTTCAGCTTTTGCATAACTGAGAAAGCCTTAAACACAACAGAAACAGCTACTTAGAAGGCAGTCCAAGGGTAGCAGACGGCTTAAAAAAGCAACTGGTTAAGTCGGAAAGTTAACAGTCGATTTATTTTTAATACCAGTTATGTTGATCATTAAGACCTTGTCCTGGATGCTATTGGTGCCCCCAGTCTGATGGAAATCTCTTAGCCTGGGGGTTATACCATCTGCATTCATGTCCTACCTGGGCTAGACTGTAGCCAATGATAAATACTTTGTTCAAAGGCTGGCTCCATTGCCTCATGCTAGGATCAACTCCACTGAGCAAATTGCTCAGAACCTCTCCTTGGAAGGAGGCTGGAGCCTGACTTCAGCTGGGACCACATCTGCCTTCACTTCCCTCACCCTTAGTTCTCAGAGCATCCCTCAATAAACCACATGCACACACATCCCTGTCTCAGGCTCTGTTTCTAAGAAGCCTGATCTGAGACAGCTTCTTTGGACTGGGAATTCTCTATGTATCATTTTAAGGCAAAAAAACTGAAGACTAATGCACAGACACAAGGAAGGAGAATCTTAATCTTGCCCCTTACACCTGTTGTTCCAACCTGTACAAAATCAACCTGAGAATTGGAAAAGAATTTTCTCGTAAAATGTGTAAGTTCAATTGATCCCTCAGATGAGCAGTGGAACAAATGATGCCCCTTTGGGATAAAGTGAGAGATGGGGTTCCAGTTTGTATAGCACATGTAGCCCTTCACACTTGCTGTCCAATAGATCTGCCTTGAAGGGATTTGGTCACAAGAGATATAAGATCATTGTAAGAGCAACTCTATCTCAATTCAATTGTCACCTCAAGTCTCCACCTTTCATGTGCAGCCTCTGAGATAATATTCTTAAATTTCAGTTTAAAAACTTTTTAAAGTTCTATTTATTTAAAAATGTTAAATTCTTCCTGGCTGGGCTCAGCTCACCGGTTGAGCATTGACCTAGGATCCAGGAGATCGAGGTTCGATTCCTGGTCAGACGGGGCACATGCCCGGGTTGCGGGCTCAATCCTCAGTCAAGGGCATGCGGGAGGCAGCTGATCAATGATTCTCTCATCATTGATGTTTCTCTCTCTCCCTCTCCCTTCCTCTCTCTGAAATCAATAAAGACATATTTTAAAAATAAGTTAAATTCTGAGTTAAGATAACTGTCAAATCTTTCTATGTAAATATGGGATGGGTAGGACAATCTGAACGATTTCTTGCCTGCATGGTTTGCTTGCATGGTTTGCTCTATCATGTTAAAGTTATACTTTTGTAATCCATACATATTAACAGATTTGTTTACTGTTGGAAAAACTGAAGAAAACAAAGTAGAATCTTACTGGGGCTAAGGTCTAAGGTTAACAGCCATATAAAATTAAGTGCAGATACAATGTGAGTTGACTATAAATAACTATATTTCATTGGGATAGTTATTTATAGAAATAGTTCTATTTCTTCTTTTAAAAGTGTATTTAAACAAGACACTGTAGTATCTTTTAAAATTTAATTAAAGGGTTAGAATTCTGTTTGATTCTCAAGGCCAAAATCCAGGCACTAGATTTCTCTTGATTACTATTCAAATTATAGGCATGATAATTTTGCAGAAATAAAATAGATTGAAATACACAGGACCCAGAATAGCTAAAACAATTTTGAAAATCACTCTATTTGATATTAAAGCTACAGTAAACAATATAATGTAATATTGGTGGAAGGACAGGCCCATAGATCAATGGGACAGAATAGAGAATCCAGAAATAGATCCACACAAACATGCCCAACTGATTTTTGAGGTGCAAAAGCAATTGAATGAAGGAAGGACTACTTTTCAACAAATAGTGCTGAAGCAATTGGACATCCATAGGCAAAAAATGGACTGTCACCCAAACCTCATGACTTATACAAATATTAACACAAAATGAATCATTGATTTAAGTGCAAAATCTAAAACTATAAAGCTATAAAACTTCTATAGCACATAGGAGGAAATCTTTGGGGCTTAGTGCTAGGTAAAGAATATTTAGATTGACAACAAAACCATGATCCGAAAAGAGAAAAATTGATAAATTGGGCCTCATCAAAATTAGAAACTTTGTGAAGTAAAAAGGCAAGCTACTGACTGGGAGAATATACTTGCAAATCACGTATCTGATAAAGGTCTTGATCTAGAACATATAAAGTCCTCTCAAAATTCAACATTAAAAAAAATCCCAACTAGAAAATGGCAAGTAGCACTGAAGAAGATATACAGATGGCAAATAAGCCTCTGAAAAGATGTTAAATATCATTAGCCATTAGAGAAATGCAAATCAAAGCCACAATAAGATAGCACTGCATACCTATCAGAATGGTTAAGATAAAAATAGTAGCAGTAACACTAGATGCTGGAGGAGATGTGGAAAAACTGGCTCACTCATATACTGCTGGTAGAAATGTAAAATGGCATAGCCACTCTGGGGAAAAGTATGGTGGTTTTTAATAAAGCTAAGCATGTGCTTATCATACAGTCCAGCAATTGCATTCCTAGATAGTTATCCCAGAGAAATGCACATTTATGTTTACACAAAAACCTTCATAGAAATATTCATAGCATCTTTACTTATAATAGTAAAACACTGGAAACAACCCAGATTTCTTTCAATTAGTGAATGGTTAAGCAAAGTGTAATAGATCCATACCATGGAAAAATACTTAGCAATAAAAAGGAGTGAAAATCACTGAAACAAGCAACAATGTGGGCAAATCTCAAAGGAGTTACGCTGAGTGAAAAAGGCCAATCTCAAAAGCTTATATACTACATAATTCAATTTCTTGAATGACAAAATTATAGGGGTGGAAAACAGATTGTCAAGGGATTGGGGAGGCAGGGAGGGAGGGAGGTGGGAGTGGAGATAAAGGGGTAACACTGGGGAAAATATTAGTGAGGGAGAGAAACAAGATGGAGGTGTAGGTAATAGCTGTACCTGCCGCCTCCCACAACCACATCAAAACTACAACTAAAGTACAGAACAACCATCACTTAGAACCTCACTTAGAACCTCCTGAAATCTAGCTGAACAGAAGCCCTACATCCAGAGAACTGAAGCAGCACTGAGACCAGTAGGAGGGGTGGAGACGCGAGCACATTGGGGCTGAATCCCGGAGACTCGGCCGCGGGTTCACACCCACTGTCACGGTTTAAACCTGGGAGGGATATCTTGGCAGTGTAGGTTTCCTAGAGGAGTGAGGGGTCCCAGCCCCACATCGGGCTCCTAGCCCAGGGCTCCAGGGCTCCAGGGCTGGGAAGAGAAACCCCCACAACATTGGGCTGTAAAAACCAGCAGGGACTGTCACTGAGGGACACAGAGGCTGCGGGAGCTCCAGACTTTCCTCTTAAAGGGCCCACACACGGACTCACTTGGACGTGCTCCCTCTGAGCCCCACCGCTGGGCAGCAGCTTGAAAGGAACCTGGGACACCTGGGGAGGAACTAACCTGCCTGAAATTGGGGCAAGAGGTGAAGGAGCAGCTTTCTCCCAGGCAGAAGAGTAGGCAGAGGCCATTGCTCCTTTGGTGAGTCCTCCCCGCACACAGAGCATGCAGGCACCATATTTGAATCACCAGCACCTGACTCACACATTTGGCCTCACCCCGTGATTCCTGGAGACCCTCCCCCTCTCCACCTGCAAACTCATCCAGGCCATTTCCAGTGGTTTTTCAATGCAAGTGGCCTTTCCAGCCTTATGCTTAGGATTTTCCTAAAATCTCTCAAATAAGCAGCACTGTGCCCCATATATCTTGAGAAGTGGCCCCAGGCCAGGCACTAGCTGCAGCCTGCACTGGTTCATAGCTTGGCCTCTCCTGGACAACCCCAAGCCCAGCACAAGTAGCAGCCAACTACATTTTGCTGTGTAGCTCATGCTGGGTGGCCCTGGGCAAGGCACAGGCAGAGGCTCACTTTACACCTCCTGGGAGGCCCCAGAGGCAGTGCACCTGGTGCTCAGACTTGATCACTCTGGATTACAACCCTACCACATCCACAAGTGACACACTCAAGGGGTGTACTTGGTGAATACCAAAGCTCCACTGAAGTAAATCCTGCTCCATAGAGGTGTCTCCAGCACAGAAGCTCTTTGGCTGTAGTTGCAGCTGGTCCTCACAGTCGGTTGACCTGGGGGTCAATTCCTCCCAGTGATGCCAACAGCAACCAAGGCTCAACTATAACAGGACAGCGTACACAGACCACACAGGGGAACACCTAGAAGGACCGGCTCAGGTGACTGGGGAGGCTGAGCCACTGGACCCTACAGGACGTCTACTACACAGAGCCACTCTACCAATTCCAGGAGACATAGCGGCTCTACCTAATACATAGAAACAAACAACTGGGAGAAGCCAAATGTGGAGGCAAAGAAACATGTCACAAAGGAAAGAACGGAGGAAATCTCCAGAAAAGGAACTAAATGAAATAGAACCAAACAAGCTAACAGATACAGAGTTCAGAATTTTGGTTATAAGGATACTCAAGGATATTAGTAAGACTATTGCAAAAACAAGTGAGACCTCGATGACCTAATAAAATACCTATCAGAAATGAAAGCTACACAAACTGAAATGAAGAGTAATTTACAGGGAATAGAGTAGAGGACGCTGAGAATCAAATCAGCAATTTGGAATATGAGGAAACAAAAAACACCCAACCAGTAGAGCAAAAAGGAAAAAGAACCCAGAAATATGAAGATAGCATAAGGAGCCCCTGGGACAACTTCAAGAGGCCTAACATTCATATTATTGGGGTGAAAGAAGGAGAAGAAAGAGAGCAAGAAATTGAAAACCTATTTGAAAAAATTATTACAGAAAACTTCTCCTACCTGGGGAAAAAATAGTCTTACAAGTCCAGGAAGCACAGAGGGTCCCAAACAAGAGGAACCCAAAGAGGCCCACAGCAAGACACATCATAATTAAAATGTCAAAGTTTAAAGACAAAGAGAGAATCTTAAAAGCAGCAAGAGAAAAGCAATTAGTTACCTACAAGGGAGTACCCAT